CGCCTCGGCTCGGGGGTGCGGGGGCTGCAGGGCCCTCTGCAGGGTCTTGCAGGAGGCGCCGCGTCGGCCCGGGCTCGGGTGCAGGATCTTGCAGCTTTGGGGGGGGAGGAGGAGGAGGAGGAGGAGGAGGAGGAGGAGGAGGAGGAGGAGGAGGAGGAGGAGGAGGAGGAGGAGGTCGGATCGCCTTCTTACTTCAGTGATCGAGTGACTTCACCTTTTCCGTCCTTCTCAGGGGCCGGGCGGACACCGAGTCTACTTGCAACGCCTTCCTACTTCATCTCTCTACCTACTTCTGGCGACCGATGCGTAAGTCAACCAACAAACACACTGCTGAAATCAGGGCCGCTGCGGGTTCGGAGGGGGGTCGCTGCTGCCTCGGCCACCCCGTGGTCATTTCGCTGGCCCTCCTCGTGCACCCAGGCGCCTCCGGTGCCAAAGAGGGGCCTCGCTTTCCTCACGCAGCGTTCCTTGTTCCAGATGCCCGACCGCATGTCTTCGCAGTTATAGACGTTTCCCGCAGCCCCGCCAGCCCATCCAGAAGCGATGCCCTGGCGGGGATGTGAAGGAGCATGCAGTGGAATCAGTGGGTTGGGGAAGCCGTCATGCCCCAAGAAGGGGAGGATGGAGGAGGAATGAGAGGAGGAGGAGGATCAGGAGACGGAGGAGGAGAAGGAGGAGGAGGGGGAGGGGGAGGGGGAGGGGGGAGAAGAGCGGAGGGAGGTGGAGACATAGGCGGATAAGGATGAGGAGGAGAAGGAGGAGGAGGAGAAGTAGGAGGAGGGCGAGCAGAAAGGCCAGAGGCCTGTTGGATCCCGCTCGCAGGCTCTTCAGATGTCTCTAAAGAGCTTCTTGGAGCGTCTTGGGTGCTCTTGGAGCGTCTTGGGGCCTCCTGTGTGACCTTTTGGGGGCCTCTTAAGGGCCTCCTGGGCACCTCTTGGGGCCCTCCTGGGGCACTGTTGGGAGCCTTGGGGGCCATCGTGGGGCCACCTTGGAGGAGTTCGATCAAAGAAGGGGGGGTCCCTAAATTAGGGCCCCCGTCCCAGAGGCCAAGATGGGCCCCCAACCCCAATACAATTTACAATTTGTGCCTTCTCGCCGAAGCCTTGTTGGACGCTCTAACGACCCGCGGCTCCCCGCGCCCAGGTCTGGGGTAGGGGGGAGGGAGAAGGGTCAACATTCCCTCCTCGCCAGCAAGCCGTCTCGCTCACTCCCACCCGCCCTCCCAACACATACGTAGGACCCGAGCCTGGCCCGAGCCGCAGCATGTTCAGCAGTTGTCTTTAGATGGGCAGCTACTGGGGGCGAATCCGCCGCCGCCGCCGCCGCCGCCGCCGCCGCCCCCGCTGCCGAATCGCCGCCGACGCAGCCGCTGCCGCCGCAGCCGCTGCCGCCACCGCTGCCGCCGCAGCCGCCGCCACTGCCGCCGCCGCCGCCGTCGCCGCCGCCCCCGCCGCCGCCACCGCCACCGCCGCCGCTCCCGCCGCAGCCGCCGCAGCCGCTGCCCCCGCCGCAGCCGCCGCAGCCGCCGCCGCCGCCAAGTGTACTTTGCATTGTTTTTTGACAGTGATGGTGGGGGGAGGCCGCGTCGGGTTCGCTGCGCATGCTCCGAATTTGGAGGCAGAGTGTGTTTTGTATGGTTTTTTTTACAAGGGATGGTGGGGGGGGCCCGCATTGTTCCTGATTGGCTCCCAGTCGCCTGGGGGAGGGGGTGTATATGAATAGGGAACAGTGGTCAGACACCTCCTGCCTGCAAGGGTACCACCCGCCCTCCAAATACAGATCACCACCCACCAAACCACCCCAACCCAACCCGAAGGCTTCAATTTGCCCTCCATTTCCAGTGGGGGGGTGTCGGGGAACATTGAAACAAACACATATGGAACCCGTACCCCCCCAACCCGAAATCCAGGTCTTCGGGTTGGGTTGTGGGGTGGTTTGGTAGGTAGCCAACATAAGTAGCATGTGAGTATCCGGATCAAGAGCACATGTAAAGCGGTCGCGAGGCGCCCAGGCATGCTGCAGACTTGGAGGTAATGTTCATTGTGGATCGTTTTTTGTCAGGAGTGGCTGGCTTGCGCGCAGCCAGTAGTAGCAGGGCACCCCCGCCGATCCTCTCAAAGACCACTGCAGAGTGGACGTGGGCACATGCTCCAGATTCGTAGGCAAAGTGTCTTGTTCACTCGGGCCTGTCCCTCTACGGGAGGAATATTCAAAACTAGTCAAACAAATCGTCCAGGCTCCTTCCAGGGACGATTGTTAAGGATTGTTTCATTATTTTGGGGCATTATTTGCGTTACATATATATATATATATATACATACATACACATACCGCATAGACCACCCTTCGGGTGATAAGGAGGCGAGGGGGGGGGGACCACCGTCGCACTCGATCGATCTCACTATCGATCTCGCTATCGATCTCATTATCGATCTCATTCGATCAATCTCACAATCGATCTGGCTATCGATCTCACACTCGATCTCACTAGCGATCTCACTATCGATATCACAATCGATACCACAATAGATCTCACAATCGATCTGGCTATCGATCTCACGATCGATCTCACATTCGGTCTCACGATCGATCTCACTACCGATATCACTATCGATCTCATTCGATCGATCTCACAATCGATCTCACAATCGATCTCACATTCGGTCTCACTATCGATCTCATTATCGATATCACAATCGATCTCACAATCGATCCCACAATCGACCTGACTATCGATCTCACTATCGAACTCACTATCGAAGTCATGATCGACCTCTCGTTCGATCTCACTATCGATCTCACTGTCGATATCACAATCAATATCACAATCGATTTCACATTCGGTCTCACTATCGATCTCACTTTCGAACTCACTATCGATCTCACTATCGATCTCACATTGGGTCTCACTATCGACCTCACTATCGATATCACAATCGATCTCACAATCGATCTCACATTCGGTCTCACTATCGATCTCACTACCGAACTCACCATCATCACCACCATCATCATCACCATCATCATCATCGTTGTCAACATCATCATCATCATCATCATCATCATCATCGTCATCATCATCATCATCACCGACGGGACACCGACGGGACACCGGCGGGACACCGCGGGGCCCCGGCCGCCCGGAAGGGAATCATTTGGTCCGGCCGCGCCTCAGCCACACGGGACACCAGCGGGACACCGGCGGGACACCGCGGGGCCCCGGCCGCCCGGAAGGGAATCATTTGGTCCGGCCGCGCCTCAGCCACAGGAGACTTTCTCTCGCCCGCCCACGCAGCTTCGCCTCGCCCGCACGCACGGCACGCACGAACACGAAACCGAAATCGATTTCCCGGTAGGGGGGCTCTCCGTTCCATTTCGATCTCACCCCCTCACCTCCGATATATATATATATATATATATATATATATATATATATATATATATACGTAAGTGTTTTGGGAGGGCCTTGCGGCTGGCGCCGCCGATCCTGAAGGTGGACGACGAGCACGACGGCGGCGTCGGCGGCGACGCCGACGCCGACGTGGAGCAGAGTCCTCGGGGATGCTTCGGGGGGCCTCTTCGGAGCGCGCTCGCTCTTGGGAGCCTCTTGGGGCCTCCGCGGGGCCTCCTGGGGGCCTCCTGGGAGCTTCGCTGGGCCGAGGGCTCGACATGTTCGTTCGGGCTCCCGTGTGGGCACCTTCTTGGAGCCGTCGGGGGCCGTTAGGGCCGTCTCCAGGCCCTCTCGGGTCGTTTCGGGGCCGTCTTGGGAGCCTCTTGGGGGCCTCTTGTGCCGATCTTGGTGGCATCATGTGCCGTCTCGGGGCGTCGGGAATAGCCGAAAAGGCGAGAACGCCAGGATCGTACAAAGAGAATCATTGCAGTTTGCCTGTGGGGGGCCCTCTTGGTATGCTCTTGCAGGCCTCTTCGAGCGTTTTGGCAGCCGCTTGAGCTGTCAGGAGGCCATCCTTGGCGTCTTGGATAAATAGTTCGGCGATTCGGAGCCCTCTTGGACCGTCTTGGATCTTCGAGGCCTCTTGGGCTGTCTTGGGGCCTCTTTGGGCCCCAGGACCCCCTAGGGGAGAATGGTATTCTGACCCGGGACGCCCCCCCAGGACCCCTCCCGGGACCCTTCCCAGGACCCGTCCCCAGGACCCTCCCCGGGACCCCACCCTCGACTGCCCACCCCCCGGGGGAGGGATCACAGGGAAGGGCTTCCCCTCGAGCCACCTACACCTACGACGTTGCTAAACTTCGCTTTGGTTTTGCTTTTGCTGGCTCGCTTGATGAGGAGGGCCCAATGAAAATGGGGGGAGCGGTGACGGGCCCAGGGAAAGGGGGGCCCAACGCGACGGCGACGGCGACGACGAAGTGTACTTGTGATATCTCTGTTGACAGAGATGGTTGGCCTGCGCACAGCAAACAAGCAACCAATATAAGAGACCACTGGCCGTCCCTGTCGAAAACCGATGCAAAATTGTCGCGGGGCGCCCGCGCATGCTCCAGATTTGGAGGCAACCTGTACTGTGAATTGTGCTTGTTCTCAGGGATGGTGGGGGGGTGGAAGGGGTATGGGTTGGCTGTCAGTCGTGTGGGGGTGGGGGTGTGCATTAGCAGGGAGCACTGATAACCCCCCCCCCCCGAGGGGGAAGAAGGGGGTTTGGAGGAGGAATCGCCCTAAACCACCCATGCCCTAAAAGGCTGGTGGGATCCCGCCTTGGGAGCGAAAATGGGCGTGCGCCAGCGTCTGGCAGCCGATGCGCACGCGCAGAGTTCGCGCCGATCAGCAGCCGACGTGGCGTCGAGCAGCGTCGGCCAGCGCCCGCTCGCAAGAGCCAGCAGGATGCATGGCACGGGCAGCTCCCGAGGGAGCTGCCAGCAGGACTCCTCCCCTCGACCGCCCCGCGCCCCCGGACTCTTCCCCCACGGGAAGCTCCCCAAGGGGTTGCCACAGGACTCCTCCCCTGCGCCCCGCCCCGCGCCCCCCTCCGCGCCGCCCCAAGGCGGGCTCTACGCGCGCATGCTGCAGGCCGCGGCCGGCGAGCAGGGCCCGCCGCACGCCCCCGCCAGCGCCGGCAGCGTCCCGCCCAACGGCACTTGGGGGGCGCGTGCTGGGGGGACGATGACTGGGCGGGGGGGGGGGGCGGCGAGCACTTCAGAGACGGGGCCCTCTAGTCGAAGCAGAAGAAACACGCCCCAGTTACAAGCTTGTGGCGCGGAGCGCGGGTTTCCTGGATCCGCGCTCGCCTCCGGCGCCGCCCCTGGCGCGCGCGCCAGGGAGGGGGGTCCGACGCAGATCCGAGAAGTCCGCGCGGAGCGCCAAAAGTGAATGTTTATGTAGTTGTTTCTTTTATTTGAGGCTGCCGACAAGGGGCCCTGTAGGGCCCCGACAAGGGCCCTTCATGGCGCCAAAGGGGGGCTTTCTGGCCCGAGAAGGGCACCTTTCTCCCCCGCCTCATTGACCGCCCCCCAGTCCACGCCAGTCGTTGAAAGTAGTAGTAGTAGTAGTAGTAGTAGTAGTAGTAGTAGTAGTAGTAGTAGTAGTAGTAGTAGTCGTAGTCGTAGTCGTAGTCGTAGTCGTAGTAGTAGTAGTAGTAGTAGTAGTCGTAGTCGTAGTAGTAGTAGTAGTAGTAGTAGTAGTAGTAGTAGTAGTAGTAGTAGTAGTAGTAGTAGTAGTAGTAGTAGTAGTAGTAGTAGTAGTAGTAGTAGTAGTAGTAGTAGTAGTAGTAGTAGTAGTAGTAGTAGTAGTAGTAGTAGTAGTAGTAGTAGTTGTAGTAGTTACTTTGGGATGCCCAAGTCCCACTCTACTTGAGACGCCTTTCTACTTCAAGAGTCGAGCGGTTTTCCCTCTTCCCTCCTCTTCAGGTGGCGGGCAGAAGCCCAATCTACTTCCAACGCCTTCCTACTTCATGCTTCTCACAGCTAAAGGTATTTCGTCTTGGTACGCCCCTTTTCTCTCGGCGGTGAATAGGACTGGTCAGAAAACCTCCTCCTCCTCCTCCTTCTCCCTCCTGGATCCTCGCAGCTGTCGTCGGCGTCGTCTCGCGGCGGGTGCCGCGAAACAAAAATAGTTTTGCGAAAGACCCAACCACATGCAGCTGCGAGGGAGATGAGACCCCGAATAGCGCACGCGGTATACCCTCTGCTCTCATAGGCAGCGCGCCGCAGGAAGAACGAGGCGCGGGGCAGTGCGGGAAGGGGGGGACGAATGGGTGGGATGTATGCGAACTTTCGCTGGAGCTCCCCATGGGCCACGAAGCGTGTGAGGGGTGTGCCAAATTGAGCGGGGGGGCGCATGCGAACGTCGCCGCTGGGGCCTTCGGTGGAGCTCCCTATGGGGCTACGAAACGTGCGAGGGGTGTACCGACATGAGTCGGTCCTACGCATGCGAACGTCCCAATAGGGGCCTTAGGTGGATCTCCCTATGTGGGGCACGAAACGTGTGAAGTGTGTGTGTGTGTGCCGAAATGGGTCGGGCGGACGCATTGGCCACGAAACGTGTGAGGGGTGCGCCGTAATAGGTATGGCAGACGCATGTGGCCACCCCCACTGAGGCCTGAGGTGGAGCTCCCGATGGGGCCACGAAACACTGTACTGGGTGTGGCGGACGTATGCGGCCCCCCCACTAGGGCATTCGGTGGAGTTCACTATGGAGCCACGAAGCGCTGCACTGGGTGTGGCGAACGCATGCGGGCACCCCCGCTGGGGCATTCGGTGGAGCTCCCTATGAGGCGACGAAGCGCTGTACTGGGTGTGGCGGACGCATGTGATCACCCCCACTTGGGCCTTCGGTGGGGCTCTCTATGGGTCCACGGAACGTGTGAGTGGTGTGCCGAAGTGAGGGGGGTGACGGGAGGAGGGAGGAGGAGGGAGGAGGGGGAGAAGGAGGGAGAGGAGGAGAGAAGCGGGAGGAGGGAAAGAAGGAACGCGGGGCGCAGTCTTTTCAAAACGAGGACCCAACACCGCAGGATGGTTGGCAATCAGTTGGTCGCCCCCTGTTGGTGGGACCCCCGTCCTTCCACAAGCCCGCCGACACAAAAGAATCGCTGCCCCCATAATTCATAATTACCGGGAAGGCCCTCCAGGTCGGAGGGAGGAGAAGCGATATCAACACCACCAGGGGGCCCACCGCCAGCGAGGAGGTCCACGATGCCTCTCCGAGCTGGAGGCTGGGGATGTCTCGAGCGAAAGGGGGGGACCACACCACCAGGGAGTTCCCCCTTGCCTCCTCGCATCTCCTCACCCTGTTGGTGTTGGTGTCGCCTTTCCTTGTTCCTACCAGGGTTACCCCCCTCCAGACCCTTCGGGGCTGCCCACTTCGTCCGACCGGCGGGGCACTCGCGCCCGAGGCACCAACGGCGCCCACCCGCCCGACGACGCGCCAGACGCCGACGGCCGCCCCGCCGCCGCGGAGGGGCTGCGCCTGCGCGCCGGCGGCCCGAGGCGCACCGCGGCCGTGGGCTGACCGCCGCGGCGGCCCAGGCGGCGGCCCCGGCGGCTCCGGCGGAGCGCTGAGGCGTTCGCCCGCCCCCCCCCGTGCGCGGGGCGTGCGGCGCGCGGCGCGGCCCCGGGCCTGGCGGACGTGGTCAGGCTTCGGCCGGCCAGATCAGTCTTTTCTTTTGTGTACATGTAGATGTTTTGTCAGGCGAGCTTGCTTGCAGGGCGTGCCACCCCCCCAGAGCCCCTCTGCAAGCGACTCGTGGGGCGCAAGTGCCTCTCGACTTGCGCAATTTCGGCACGTGCAGGTCGTTTGCGGCTTGCTTCAGGTTCAGGCCCCCCCCCCCTCCGTCCATGCAAGTAAATTTGCCGGGGTTTAAAAAAATAGGCTCCGTGCGTAGGAGTGGCCTTTCGCCGGAGCGACCTTCCCCGAGATCCTGGCGTCGCATTTGGTTCGGGCCCGGCGCTTTCGCCTTACTTCCCGGGCCCCGGGGACCCTGGCATATGGATCCTGCTTGAAAAATGGCGCTGAAACATAGGGTCTAGGGCTCCGGGCGCGAGTATTCTAGCGATGCTGCAATTTTTTCGCTCGGATCTGAGAGGAGTGACCTCTCGCCAGAGTGACCCGTTGGGTGCGGGCACGTTGCGGCCCCCAGCTGGCGGAGTGAGGATGCGAGAGCAGCGGCTTGCGCGCTCCGTTTCGGCCCCCCCCCCCGCGGCCTCCGGAAGTCGCGCACAAAGAGTTCCCTCTTGCCTTCAGTCGGGCCTGTCCCTCTACAGGGGGAATATTCAAACATAGTCAAAGAATAGTCTAGGGACTGTTTTTTTGAGTATTTTGGGGCATCTTTTGGGTATTTTTTGAAGTATGTCTTATTTTTCGTAGAAAAATCCCCCTGCAGGGGGACAAGCACGACCTCTAACTCTTGCCTAGGGCTAGGGTCACTCGGAGGGCGCGCAAGGGGGGGGCGACGACTGGTTGGGCAGCGGGGGCTGCAGAGCAGGAGCCCTGGAGGGCCCCTGCAGGGGCCCTTCCGGGCCCCCGCAGGGGGGGCCCGAAAGGAGCACCGTTCCAACCCCAGCGATGCCCCAAAGGCTTCAGGTGGTGCACATCAGGAGGGAGAGAAATAGACACGGGCACAAGCAGGTGTCCATTCCCATGAAAAAAAGATGGGGAGATGTGGGGATTTGAGGGGAAGACGACAGTCCAGAAAATGTAGGGACATCTTTGGATTCCTTGGCTTTGTCAATGTTTTTTTTGTGTGTATGTGTGTGTGTGTGTGAGTGTGTGTGTGTGTGTGTCCCTGTGTCCTTTTGGGCAGACAGCCCCACCCACAGGTAGCGCCGATTGGCCTCAAGAGGCGCCTCGAGTAGTCGCGGCTGGCCTCAACAGGCCCCATGAGGTCTCAACACTTACCCTGGGACGCGGGCGCCGCCGGAGGCGGCGCCGGGGTGCTGAGACCGCCCGGGACTACTCGGGGGGTCTGTTGAGACCCGCCGCGACTACTCGGGGCGCCTGCTGGGGCCAGCCGGGGCTGCTCTGGGGGCCTGTTGGGGTCAGCGGGGACGGATCGGTGCCGGGGACCTGCGGAGGCCAGCTGGGACTGCCCCCTGGAGGGCCGTCGGCGCGCAGCCCGAAGCCTCACCGCGCAGAGCGCTGCCGCCTCCCCTGGCGCGGTGTGCGGCGCGCGGCGCGGTCCGGCGGGCGCCCGAAGTTTTGCGGCCCGCGGGCTCTGGTCAAGCAGTGCCGAAGCGTCCTGGCCTGCCTGCAGGCCCCTCGAAGAGTCTTCGATGGGCCTGCAGAGCCCTTGGAGCCGTCTTGAAGACGGTTCTTAAGGACCTTCCGTGGTTTGCCCCAGGTTTTTGCAGAACGTTTCTGGCTGATGCCCTCTTGTTCCAATTCGCCGGCATTCTGTTCCAAGAACACCGTCGCTGTTGTCTGAATCTGCTTCTTCCGGTCTTCGAACACCCTTCTGATCTGAGAAGCTTCCTGATGGGCCTGTACGTCACCACCCACCAAACCACCGCAGCCCAACCCGAAGGCCCAAACTTACCTTCGATTTCCAGTGGGGGGGGAGTCGGGGAATATCGACAACACACATGTGGAACCCGTACGCCCAAAAACCGAAACTTGTGTCTTCGGGTTAGGTTGGGGTGGTCGGGTAGGTAGCCAGTAGGAGTGCCAAGGCGGTCGGTCCCTGCTCAAGCTGGGGCTCTGCCTCACGGGCCCCCCCCTGTCCGGGGCGTCGCCGAGGCCCTCCCCACAGATCGGCGGCCTGCGCGGCGCGGGGGCCGGGCGAGGGAGTCGCGCGGCCTCCGAAGGAAAGGCCCGCGGGGGCCGCCTCTGGGGAGGAGGAGGAGGAGGAGGAGGAAGAGGAGGAGGAGGAGGAGGAGGAGGAGGAGGAGGAGGAGGAGCAGGAGGAGGAGGAGGAGGAGGAGGAGGAGGAGGAGGAGGAGGAGGAGAGGAGAGGAGGAGGAGGAGGAGGAGGAGTCCAGGGAGGAGAGGAGGAGGAGGGAGGAGGAGGAGCGTCATGAGTGAAGAGAGGAGGAGGAGCGTCATGAGTGTCATAGATCCAAGAAGTGAACGGCGAGCGAGGCTCAACGGTCACCCTCGGCCTCCCAGGAGGAAGGGGCCCGCAGGCGCCAGCACCGACGGTCAGGGGAAAGACATATACCTCGTCGCTCAGCGATTCGCTGCCCAACCGAGACGGCGTGGTGCGTAGGGGGACAGCCGGTTCACCGCGTCCTCTTCCTCCTCCTCCTGATCCTCCTCCTCCTCCTCCTCCTCCTCCTCCTCCTGGTCCTCCTCCTCCTCCTCCTTGCCCCGAGGGTGGGGGCCTGGCACCTGTTCTCATGGTGTCAGCGCCACACACTCCTCGGGGCACACTGTCAGTGTCAATTGCATGCGGCGGCTGGGGGCAGATAAACTGGCTTTCGTCGTTCTTGCACCAGCCGCGTGGCACTTTGCCCTTGGCAGCGGGCTGTTAGCTGCGCCCGAGACCCGGAGATGGGTGCCAGGCACGGGGAGTGCGCATTTGGTTGAGAGGCGGGGCCATGTGGTCCGTAAGTCCCAAGGAGGGGTGACGGTCGGGAAGTACTGCGCGGTGAGGATGAGGAGGACCAGGAGGATGAGGAGGAGGAGGAGGAGGAGGAAGAGGAGGAGGAGGAGGAGGAGGAGGAGGAGGAGGAGGGAGGAGGAGGAGGAGGAGGTGGAGGAGGAGGGAGGAGGAGGAGGAGGAGGAGGAGGAGGAGGAGGAGGAGGAGGAGAGGAGGAGGAGGATGGAGGATGAGGAGGAGAGGAGGAGGAGGAGAGGAGGAGGAGGAGGAGGAGGAGGAGGAAGGAGGAGGAGGAGGAGGAGGAGGAGGAGGAGGAGGAGGGAGGAGGAGGAGAGGGGAGGAGGAGGAGGAGGAGGAGGGAGGAGGAGGAGAGGAGGAGGAGGAGGAGGAGGAGGAGGAGGAGGAGGAGGAGTGGAGGAGGAGAGGAGGAGGAGGAGGAGGAGGAGGAGGAGGAGGAGAGGAGGGAGGAGGAGGAGGAGGAGGAGGAGGAGGAGGAGGAGGAGGAGGAAGGATGAGGAGGAGGGGAGGAGGAGGAGGAGGAGGAGGGAGGAGGAGGAGGAGGAGGAGGAGGAGGAGAGGGGAGGAGGAGGAGGGAGAGAGGAGGAGGAGGAGGCGGGGAGGAGGAGGAGGGAGGAGGAGGAGGGAGGAGAGGAGGAGGGTGAGGAGGACGAGGGCCGCCGCCCCGCCCCTTGCGAAAACCCACTGCGGCCGGGCGGGCCTTCTGGGAGCCCTGCTGCGACCTCTGGCGCCTCGATGTTTCGAGCTGGGCCTTTTATAGCACGGTCTCGCGTCCTGGCGGGGGCCCGCACAGTTCGGCTCGAAAGACTGCACCGGTCCGCAGGGTTCCCATCGTTATCTCCGCGATGCGTTTTTTTTTTTCCAGCCGTCGGATCTCGGGAGAGAGTGGGGGGGGCCCGCCGCCTCCAGAAGCCAGGCCCTCCTGCCCTCTGTGGGGCCCTCCTGGGAGGCTCTGGGGTCGGGGGGGGGGGGGGGGGGGCGGCTGCGGGCTCCCCTCCCGAGAGAGAGGCCCTGCATTGGGAGGTCGCAGGGGGAGCAATGTCCAGACACGCGCAGACACAGAGTGTGGCAAAGCCCGCACCTTCTAAGAAACAGCCCCCTTCTAAGAAGCCTTCCCCCCTCCCCCTACCCCCCTCTGCGTGCCGCCAAGGGACAGTGAGGACAGTGCCGAGAGCGTGCAGGTGAATCACGAACACGCCTCGAAAAAAGAACGAGAGAGGGCCCTCATCCAACAAGGGGCGCTCTCCGCGCCGTGCGCGGGGCAGGGGAGCAACGGTGCGAGGGTCACTAACGGCGCAACGCCGTGCAGTCCCCACTCGCACCGCGCCCCCCGCCCGCACCCGCCCACTATTCAGGTGCCTCGGGCTCGGGCGCCTGCTGAGCATCGCAGGCACCCCGAGCTCCGAGAAAACAAGCGGCTCGAGGGGCTCGCCCGCCTTGGGATGCAGGCCCCTTCGAGCCAGCTCGAGCATCGACGCGATGGAGGCCAAGACAGCCCGCTGCACTTAAGGGGCCCTTAAGTGCAGCGGATCTGCTCCTTCCGTGCGCGGGGCTGGGAAGCAACGGTGCGAGGGTCACTAACGGCGCAACGCCGGGCAGTCCCCACTCGCACCGCGCCCCCCGCCAGCACATCCGCCCACTAGTCAGGTGCCTCGGGCTCGGGCGCCTGCTGCGGCATCGCAGGCCCCCCGAGCTCCGAGAAGACGAGCGGCTCGAGGGGCTCGCCCGTCTTGGGATGCAGGCCCCTTCGAGCCAGCTCGAGCATCGACGCGATAGCTCCGTCCCCCCCACTCCCAGCTCCCGCCGACCCCGTCCCAGCCCTCTTGCACGCTCGAGACAGGCCGACCGACAGCCGATTGGGGCGCACAGCGTGCGCCCCGCACTTAACACAGATCAAAACTCGATCCAAGGCCTGGACCTGGTGTCCTGGCCCGACCTCCTGGGGGTCGCATGCACGGGAAGCCAGAGACTTCAACGACGAGGCCGTCGCTGCAAGCCTCCAGCAGGCTCGACATCGAATAGCTCCCCCAGCGAAGACCACAAAGTCGTGATCGGTCGGCCGCCGCGGACGGCGGGGCCGAAAGACAGCCTTCGGAGGCGCACGGAGTAACGGGGTGGAGAGGCGGGCCACGCGCTCGGCAGCCCAGGCCAGACAACGCATCGTGTCCTGGGCCCGAAGCAGAGAAAATTTGTGAGCCTTGACCACGGAGGTGGATCCAAGGAAATCAGCCGCTGCCACGCGGGCGAAAACATCAGCCCACATATTACCGAAAAAATGCTCCAGGGGCTCCTGGGAGGCCAGGCAGGCCTCAAACCCCTCGAGGACGGTCCGATGGGCCTTCGTCCAAACAAACACGGGCCTGACAGGGTCGCCTCTATACAGCTCGTGGATGCTCCGCCAGATGGACGCGTGGGGCGCTCTGGCAGAAGCATGACGACCCTCCCAGGCCATTCCCTCGACCTGCAGCTGTAAATGATCAGTCACGTACGTGGCTGGCCTCTGGGCCCTCTGCAGGGCCTTGAGACCAGCAACGCGCTCGGCCCTGGGCACCGTCTGGATAGGGCCCCCCAGGCTCCCGAAAAAAGCTTTGTATGGCCACAGGTCTCGGGTCAATGCTACGACGGCCCAGCCACAGCGCCGTTCCTCAGGGAAATCACTTTCAAGACAGGACCCGTCCCCGTGCAACTTCGACGGCCACGGCATGTCGATCGCCCCCCACTCGCGCTCAGCCTGAGCACGTGCAGGCAGCGGCCTGAAAGCAGGCCTCAGGGGCAGCGCGTAGAGCACGTCGACGGCCGAGAAGTCCTGCACCTGGCCCCCGTCGCGCCACGGGGCTGCCTCCAGGATGTCCTTCCTCCTCTTGGCCACCTCTTCGGGGTACGGCTCCGTCTCCTCGTCCTCCTGCTGCTGATGCAATACCGTGCAGCCGAAGATCTCATGCTCGAGGTCGCAGCAGGCCCCCCCGCAGAACTCGCACGAACCGTCGCCGCCGTAGCCAACCTGCATGCGGCGCTGCGGCGACCAGAACCCGTTGGACTGCAGCTTGGCCAGAGCCCCTCTGTGGCCAGGCGCCAAGGAGGCGTGTCCCAGTCGAAGCGCACGAAGCCACACATGCTGCTGCCGCCTGCCGTCACCATCGGCTGGGGGCGCCTCAGGCAGCTGGTCGAGGATACGATGGCTCTGCCAACGGTCGAGGCTGCGACGCAGGAAAAACAGCACCTCACTGGGACAATACTGCAGCAAACTGATATGCAGGCCCTCATCGTCAACCAAGATTGTAGAACTTGCCATGTTCCAGTTGACTCTCCTGAGGGACAACCACAAGGCCGAAAGCGGGCCCTGCGCACTGGCCCACGTGACGTGAGTGTGGCGGGCTTCCCAGGAGTCACGCAAGCCCATCCAGGCCCGCTGCAGTCGGGAGAGCGTCACACGCCCATCCCACACCCACGCCGCGTGCTGCCCCACGATGCTGAAGGTAGTGTGGAATATGGGGTCGAAGCTCCACTGCTGCGCGGCCAGGTACAGCGTCAGGGAGCCCGACCCTTTGTAGCCACAGAAGACGCCAGCCATGGTCCTCATCTGCTGCAGCTCCGTGTCGCTGATGCCGCTGACCGTGGCTCCGTGCCCCACGGATGGCAGCACACCCGTGGCCCAGAGCCGAGCCGCCCGCTGTCGTCCTGCTCCCTTCTGCAGTGCTCGAACGCTGGCCTTCTTTCCGTGCATGGCCTTCAGGCGTCCCTTCTGCACGGCCCTTGTGGCCGACGACCCAGCTAGGTCGTGGCCAAGATACCGCATGTGCCTCTTGCCAGCGATCTTCAGCAGCCTGGCGTACTTCTGAAAGTGGTAGCTGGTGCGCCTGGACGTCGTAAGGTGCCCAGACTTATCCATCTGCAGCACCAGCCCGGGGGGCCGGACAGCCCTGCAGAAAGCACGAGTGGCAATGGCCATTTCTCGCACCCCGCTCGGGTCGTTGCCGACCCAGCACAGCGCGACGTCGTCCACCAAGTCCTTGGGCTGAACCTGAGGAGCGACCGACATCGTCTGGCGAATGCTGCTCGTAGCATTTGAGCATGTCCAGCAGCACAATGATGGCGTCGTCATCGCACAGGGTCGCCATCTCCTTGGTGAGCGCCAAATCAAAGGCCGCATCACTCGACGACTTGCCTCCAGTGTGGCCCCAGACCTCTGGTAGCGCATGGGCCTTCTCCCACGCTGCCGAGACAGGCCGCCTCGCCCGTCCCCAGATCCTGACCAGCGTGTTCATCAGCACAATCAGGCGCTCCCCACCCCTGGCTTGGGGAGTCTCACGAGCTTCGAGAGGAATCTGCCGTCTGGCCACAGCAGGAGGTGCTCGCACCGCTCGAAGAGGCGCGCCATAGCCGTCAGCGCCCCGTGGGAGAGGTGCTCCATGGCCCTGGGCGCGATGTTGATCTGCCCGACGCCTGTCTGCCAAGAGAAACAACGGATTGCCTTGAGTACGTCGCCCGCCTCAAGCCTTGGCAGCTGCTCCCAAGTGTCAGCATCAACAGGTCGGCGAGCCAGCTCACCGCCATGCCGCACCCAGAAGCTTTCCCAATACTCACGCTTACGATCAGCCAGTACGTACCCATGTTGTAGCCCATTGCCTCCGTCCACGATCTCCTGGAGAGCCTTGGGCTTCATGAATCGGTGAGCTCCCTTGGCTCCAGCCGCAAAAGCTGCCTGCGCCCACTGCCTCCAGCTCTGCATCACGGCCTTCTCATGCTTGGCCTCAGCATCGGAGGAGATACTCAGGATGCGGTCGACCTGCTGCTCGAAGTCTGCCTGCGCTAAGGCAAGTATGCCACGCGAGAAGAAGCCGACGGCTTCGGCGCCCAGGTGCGGCCAGACTCCCTTCCTCCGCCAGATTCTCTGGAAGAAATTCTCGCGCTCCAGCAGGTGGCGCGCCGCCTTGGAGTGCACGGCGTCCCACGATAGGTCCTCGCCTGCCCGTCGCGGGGGCTGGTGTCGCTGAGCTCTCGACCGAGGCCGACCACCATCGGAGGAGAGACCAGCCACTCGGGGGGGGGGGCTGCTGGCTCCCCTCCCCAAGGTCCTGCACGGGAGGTCGCTGCGGCAGCGCGGTGTTTCCAGGGCCACATCATGGTTCTGGCGCTCCGCGTAGACTTTTCGGATCCACGCGGGGTTCCCCTGGCGGCGTTTCTGTCGCCGCCCCTGGCGCGCTCCGCGCGCCAGGGAGGGGGTCCAGCGCTCATCCAAGAAATCCTTGCGGACCTCCAGAAGTTTTATGTTTATGCAAGTCTTTGTTCCTCTACCCCCTACAGTCGGACCGAGGTATAAGATCGAGGTTGGTTCGGGGAAGGTGCCCCAGTGTTCTTCGTGTTTGTGGGGTGTTCTTGTGCACCCTGGGAAGGATCGCCTTGGATGTTCTTTGTTTTTTGGCCGACGGGGCGTCTCATGTTCTTGAGGGATGCTATTCTGGCCCAGGTCCGATTGTGCGTCAGCTGGCGCGCTTGATCCGTCCGTCAATGGCAATCCTTACGACCCCCCTTCGCGACGAGCTCGGATTTCAGGTCTGCTCTTGCCGACGATTGGGCTGCCTAGGGTTGTTCGTCATGGCAGCTCGTGATTGACGAATGATCCCCCCCGAGGTTGATGAATAGACTTCGCGGGCCGCGGCATACATTTTATCACGAACGCCAGGGGGTCGTCGCGGGCGCCGCCGAGGGGATCGTGTACCTCCTTGCACGGCAGCCTCCAAACGCTTGCCTTTCGAATAGAAGTTGTTTTAGGGACCGTATACATCCGAGGCGAAGCTGCATCCCTTCTCAGGCTGATTACTGACAAGCCACGGTCGTCGTCGTCGTTGTCGTCGTGGTCGTCGTGGTCGTCGTCGTCCTCGTCGTCGTCGTCGTCATCGTCGTCGTCGTCGTCGTCGTGGTCGTCGTGGTCGTCGTCGTCGTCGTCGTTGTCGTCGACATCGGCGTCGGCGACGGCGTCGGCGACAGCGGGCCTACTCAGCCCCCCATGGGGCATCCGCAGTGCGTCGCCGCCGTCGTCGTAGTCGTCGTCGTCGTCGTCGTCGTGGTGGTCGTCGTCGTGGTCGTCGTCGTCGTCATCGTCGACGAGCACAGCGGGCATGCGCAGCACACCTGCCTCACCCTCGTGGAGCATCCGCAGTGCACGGTCGTCCGCCGTCGCCGTCGGTATCGCCGTCGCCGTCGTTGTCGTCGTCGTTGTTGTAGGACATATTGTAGTCGAGGTGGAGAGGGGGGAAAGGAAAAGGAGGAACCCTTTCCGCCTGCTTCTGCCGTTCATCCCCCCGTTTCACCGTTTTTGTTTGCAGCCCTGTCGGAACCGCCCGCCCGTTGAGGCGCTTCCTCCCCCCGCCTCCTCTTTCTCTGGTGCCTGCAGCCATTTCGGCCCAAGCGCCCCGCTACAGCGGAGGCGCTGCTGTCCCTCTCCGCTGCAGCGGCGCCGCTTGCGTCGAGCCTGTCGCCCTCGCGCTGGCGGTCGGGCGTCGGTGCGAATCACCAGCGCCGCCGCCGCGTGATTCCATTTGGCGGGCGCCCCCCCCCGCGATTGGCCCGACCGGGGGAACAATTTTTTACATGGCGCGCCGCCTGTGTTTTTTTCGGCGCCACCCCAACATAGTAATGCCATGCGTGCGCCCCCCCTCCCCTAGGGGCGACGCGCGCACAAAAAAATCTTATCGTCCACGCCGCTCGGGAAACCATATGCTACAATCTGGTTTTACTAATATGGTCAGGTCGGACGCGCACCTCCAAGGGGGGCGTTTAGTGCTAGTGTGTCCTTATGTGTCCCATTATCATTAATCGCAAGCTGACATTTAATCGCTTCGTTCATTCCGCCGGCCCGTACTGTGCCATCGCAGGCCTTTGGCCTGCACGTTCGTGGCCTCCTGGGGTTTGTTGGGGGTCGTTCGGGGACGTCTTAGGGTTTCTTTTTGGGTCTCGTTGGGGGCCTCGTAGGCCCGCCAAAGGGACTGGGGGCGGTTTCGGGGGCCTCTGAGGTCTCCTGGGGGCGTCTTGGGGCGGTAGGCTCGAATTGGTGGTTCGGCTGTTCGCCTCTTGGGCCCCTCTTCGGGCCGGCTTGTGGCCCTCTGTGGCGATCTTGGGCGCCTCTGGGGCCGTCTTAGGGCCCTCTTGGGGGCCTTTCGGGCCGTCGAGCTTTTTGGTGCCATCTTGGAGCGTCGGCGATTCGGCTGCCTAGGTTTGCTCTTACCGACGATTGGGCTGCTGAGGTTTGCGGGGCGGCCCGCCGACCGATGCCGCCGGCGCGGCCGTCGACCGGTCCGCGTCGGGCCGGCGCTGGGCCGCCGCCGTCGCCGTCCCCGGAGATCCGACGCAGCAGAAGCATTGCAACATCGTGACAAATCACGCCCGGAGCCCCAGACCCCCACCATTTTGTTCCAATCTTCGGGCCGGATCTCGACCTGGAAGGGCCCCAGGGGGCCCGGAACTGGGCGAAGACGCCAGGCCCGAAACAGTGGAGACGCCGTGATTCCACTGATGGGCATGTTTTCCACCACCACCACCATAAGGTGGAGGGGGGAAGGATGTGGAGGACAAGGAGGGAGGGTTGAGGAAGAGGACGAGAGGAGTAGTAGTATAGGAGAGGAGCACACACAGGAGGTGGCGAAAAGCGGAGGAGGAGAAGGAGTAGGAGGATTAGGAGGAGGAGGAGGAGGAGGAGAGGAGGTGGAGGAGGAGGAGGAGGAGGAGGAGGAGGAGGAGGAGGAGGCGGAGGCGGAGGCGGAGGAGGAGGAGGAGGGAGCGAGCGAGCGAGTGGCGCAGCAGCAGTCGAGTCGATAGCTGAGGCCAGCGAAAGGGAGACAGCAGAGGGATGGGAGGAGACTCCTACCCCTCCGCCAGAATAGAGCAGCCAGCGAGGCGGCTCCACGGCTATGGAAAATGGCATCCCAACTCTAGTGGGGCCACGTGGAGGAAACGTATCGACGCCTCCAACGTCGGCAGCCTCGCGGCCCCGCACACGGCGACGAGGACCCAAGACAGGGCACCGACAGGAGCGTGCCACTTCCGCAACCCCGAGGGTTACAGACGGTGCACGCCCCACCCCCGCGGGGACGGCCCAACCGAAGTCCCGAACCCCAGGAGCGGGACCGACGGCAAGCCAGGGCCCCAAGGGGCCCAGGCGGGCCACACAACATTCCGAGGCGAATCCAGCAACCAGGAACGTGCGCCACGAGCTCAGAACGGCTTGTTCTGAGCAGCATACGCGATGTTCCGCAGCTCATGGATGTCTTTTTCGAGCAGAGTGGCTCGCGTCGCCTCACACTTGGGTGCAAGCCAGCTGTTGGAGATGATGTCCATGCACTCGCGCCTCTCGTCCGCATCGGGGTCGGACGCAGCGCCAGCCTGCGCCACCACCACACTGGCCGAGGTATCGGCGCAGCCCGAGGTCTGGGACACATGTATCGCCACAGGGTTGGCGATGCCTTCCAGCTCCTTCTGCTTGGTCTGCGCCTTCCGCACCTTGTCAAGGATGGGGTTGGCGATGCCCTCCAGCTCCCTGTGCTTGCCCACGAGCGCGGCCACGTCAGCGAGCGGCCTGGGGCAGGTGGAGCCAGTGGAGGGTGTCATTCACCGCCTCCTCAATGTTGTCCAAGTCACGTGACTCGAACTTGTCCTGCAGCTTCAGGTCCTGCAGGGTGCCGCGCATGTTGTGGCAGCAGCTCTCTACTGCCTTCATCATGATGGGGTTGACGATGCCCTTTAGCTCCTTTCGCTTGCCCTCGAACTCGGCAGCGTCGGCCACCAGGGGCTTGTCGGACCATTGAAGGGTATCCTGCACCGCCTTCCCGATTGCGTCCAAGTCATTCGCCTCGAACTTGTCCTGCAACTTCAAATCCTGCATGGTGTTGCGCATGTTGTAGCAGTAGTCGACGAGGGCATACTTTGCCACGAGCTTGGCGTGAACGGCCTCGTTGTCCGAATGGTGCTTCAGGAGCTGGTCACATACGCTCTCTAGCTTGCTGACCTTCTCGCCGAAGTCCGAAAAGTCGTCGGTGCTGGCTTCTGGCGCCTGGGTCAAAGGCGCCTCAGCTGTGGTGTCAGACTCCGAGTGCGAGTTAGCATGTCCTCGCACAAGCTTGGACATGACGCTATTGGTCAGACCTGGCTTGGGGTGGGCCAAGGCTCTGCGGCCAGCCCTGAATCCAGCCCAATCCTTGGCCAGAGACTCCTCACCGATGGCCCGGAGCGCATGTCGAACGTCTTCAGAAGTCGCTTTGCGCTCGAGGCCCAAGGCCTCGCCTGCACCTTGCAGCACGGCCTCGAATTTGGAAAGTACCGCATCGGTACTGTCAGGAGCCTTCTTGCCCTTCATCAGGACACCACCTCCGCCCATCGCAACCGTCGAAGCGGTGGCAACAGCTTGCCGAAGGAGATGTTCCTGTAGAGCACGCCGCACAGGAACTGCAATGATGGCCTCGAGCACTGCAGCAAAGGCGGCCTTCTGCGGCCTTCTGCGCAGGAAAGGAAAAGCATGAAAACTCAGGAAGTACCGTATCAGACAGTGCGGTTAGCAGAGACCAGCCACAGCCTTGAGCCCAAATGGCTACGGACGCGGAGGAGGAGGAGGAGGAGGAGGAGGAGGAGGAGGAGGAGGAGGAGGAGGAGGAGGAGGAGGAGGACCCCTTCCCCCTCCAACCTGATGGTGGTGGTGGTGGAAGACAGGCCCATCATCCAGGGCCCGGTCGTCGACGATGGTGCCCCGCCGCCCCGGGCACGCGGATGGCGCTCGCTGTGCCCCCCCCCGCGGGCTGCAGGCTCCGCGGGCCTCCCCCGGAGGCCGCCCGCGCTCTGCGTCCTGCCCCCTCTCGCTGCCGGGCGCGGCCGCGCGGCGGGCCTCGGCTCGAGCAGTGGCGAGGCGTCCTGGCGTGCCTAGATCGGGGGCGGCAGAGAGGGGGGTGATGACGAGGGGGGGTGGATCTCATGGCGGGGGCCACGATACTTCCCCAGATTTCATGGCGCCTCTTCTAATTGCATGACGTCCCTAGCCCCCCCGCTGGGCCGCGCACATGCCGCCGGTCATGATTTGCACCCCCCCCCCTCTTGGACACTCCCCTCTTGGCCGCTCCCGAAGAATGCTCAGAGAACCTCTTGTGGTTTCCACGAAATGTTCATGTTCTCAGAACACTTCTGGCCGGGACCGGCCTGTTCTAACACATCGGGTTTACGTTCCAAGAACATCGTTTTGGTTCTCAGGACATTTTTGGGTTCTAAGAACATGTCGTGGTAGGCCTATAGAAATGCCGGGACGGTCGGTCCCTGCTCAACCGGTGCGGGCGGCGCCCGGGGGGCGCGGGCCGCGGTGTGCTGGGGGAGGAAAAGTCTGGGTGGCCCAAAAGGGGGTCCAGCTGAAAGGGGGTGGTGCAAGACTTACGTTGAGGGCACGTGTGTTGCAAGCGCACTGCGCCAGAGAGTTGTGTTGCGTCGTGCTGCAAAGAACGCACTGCACGCGGGAATCCAGCACAATATATGTTCCCCAGAATGTATTGCATGTCGAAAATCTGCTGCAACCCTACAAATCTTTTGCACCAGATCTATTGCACCACCCTTTTTTCGCTGGACCGCCGCGTGCGTCAACCAGAAGAAGGAGCGCGGCGCCACGTGCGTGTGCGTGTGCCCCTGAAGCCCTGGCGTCGCGACTTTTTCGAGCCTGGCGTCTTCGCCCAGTTTCTCGTGCCCCAGGACCCTTCAGATCGATCTGGCTCGACAACTGGCGCAGAAGGATGGGGTCTAGGGCTCCAGGCGTGACCTCTTGCGATGTTGCAATTATCTTCGCTACGTCGGATCTCAGGGGAGCGCGGCGCCATGTGCGTGTGCGCGTGCGCGTGCGCGTGCGCGTGCCCCTTAAGCCCTGGCGTCACAACTTTTTCGGGCCCAGCGTCTTCGCCCAGTTTCGGGCTCCAGGACCCTTATCGATCCGGTCGACAACTGGCGCAGCAGGATGGGGTCTAGGGCTCCAGGCGTGACCTCTTGCGATGTTGCAATTATCTTCGCTACGTCGGATCTCAATGGAGCGCGGCGCCACGTGTGTGTGCGCATGCGTGTGCGCGTGCGCGTGCGTGTGCGCGTGCTTGGCCGCAGCCGCTGACGCCGCTGCCGTGTACTGCCAGACACCTTCCTTGACCAACCAGCGCGAGCGCGCGCGCGCCCGTGGGACCTCCTTAGACGGCACGGCGATGCGCTGGCCCCGGCGCGGGCCGCGGTGTGGTGGGTGGGGGGGAGAAGAGGAGCACGGCGCCACGTGAGCGGCGCAGCACATGGTGGCGTCTGCGCCGACTGGCGCGTGAGCTGATTGCGTAAGGTTGCGCGTGAGCGCACTCGTCTCCAATGTAGCTTGCCGCGCTGGCGGCCCGCGTAAGCCACCGCGTAACGTCGTTGTGTCATTTCGCGTGAGACCCGCTTAGCTTCGTCGCTCACGTGGTTGTGGTTGTGCGTGTGCGTGTGCGTGTCGCTCCCACTGAAATGCAACGTCCCGAAGCTAGCCGAACGCAGCACCTGACCGAGGGCCAATGACATATGCACCGCCACATTGGAGCCCCCCAAAGGAGTGCCCCCCAGGCGCGGCCCGAGTGTGCGTGTGTGTGTGTGTGTGTGTGTGTTTGTGTACGTGTGTACGTGTGTGTGTATGTACCGTCGCCCCTTTGGCTCAAGCCCTTGGGCTCAAGCCCTTAGCTCGAGACGCCGGCCGCCAGGGGGCCATTCCCCCTTCTCCTACTTCTCATTTGTTTCTCTTCCTGGTATCCCAGCTGGAACGCCGTGCCATCGAGGAGCACCGGCGACAGTCCCAGCCGGAGCACGCTGCTGCCAGCCAGGCTGCTGCTTTTCATTGCCCCGCTAGGGGCTGGCTCCTTGGCGCGCGCGCGGCGCGCACGTGTCAGGCGGTGTGGCGCTGCGCCCGCCCGCGAACGACCGGAAAGTGAGCGTTCGTGCGTGGGTGCGTGCGTTCGTGCGTGCGTGCGTGCAGGCGTGTGTGCGTGCGTGCGTGCGTGCTTGCGCGCGTCTGTTGGGACCCTAAGGGGTCTCTGAGGGCTCGGGCGTTCCTAGTCGCGCTTTGGCGCTGCGCACAAGGCAGCGATGCTAAAAAGTGTGTGTGTGTGTGTGCATGTGTGTGCGTGTGTGCGTGTGTGTCTGTGTGCGTGCGTGCGTTCGTGCGTGTGTGTGTGTATGCGTGTGTGTGTGTGTGTGTGTGTGTGTGTGTGGTGCGTGTGCGTGTGGCGGTGCGTGGCGTGCGTACGTCGTGCGTATGTGCGCTGTGTGTTGTTGTGTGTGTGCGTGTGCGTGTGCGTTTGCGTGTGGCGTGTGTGCGTGGGGTGGGTGCGTGAATATGTGAGTGCGAATAGTCCTTTGTGTGTTGTCTGTGTGTCGGTGCGTGCGGCGTGCGAGTGCGTGTGTGCGTGCTGTGCGTGCGTGTATGTGTGTGTGTGTGTGTTTTTTGTGCGTGTGCGCGTCCGTGCGTGTGTGTGTGGTGTGGTGTGTGTTGGTGGTGTGCTTGTGCTTTTGCGCGTGCGTGCGTTGCGTGCGCGCGTGTGGTGTGTGCGCGGCGCATGCGTACGTGGCGGCGTGTGTGTGTGGGTGTGCGCATAGTGTGCGTGTGTGTGTGTGTGTGTGGCGGTTTGTGGTGTGTGTGGTGCGTTCGTGCGTGCGTGCTGGTCTTGTGCGTGTGTGCGGTGTGTTCGTGTTGCGTGTTGCCGTGCCTTTGTGTGTAAGTGCGTGGGTGTGTGTGTGTTGTTTTCGTGTGCGTGTGTGTGTGTGCGTGTGTGTGTGTGTGTGCGTGTGTTGCCCGTCTGCGTGCTTCGTGCGTGCGTGCGTGCGTGTGTGTGTGTGTTGCGTGTGCGTGTGTGTGTTTGTGTTCTGTGTGTGTGCGTGTGCGTGTGCGTGTGCGTGTGTGGTGTGTGTGTGTGCCGTATGCTTGTGTTGTGTGTTGTCCTGTGTGTGTGTGGTGCGTGTCCGTGGTGCGTGTGGCGTGTGTGTGTGTGTGTGTGCGATGCGTGGGTGTGTTGTGTGCGTGCGTGTGTCGTATGCGTTTGTTTGTGTGGGTGCGCGCGGTGCGTGTCGAGTGCGGTGTGAGTGCGTTCGTGCGTGCGTGCGTGCGTGTGTGCGTGCGTGTGGTGGTGTGGGTTGGGTGTGTGCGTGTGTGGTGTGTGTGTGTGTTTGTGGCGTGCGTGGCGCTCGTGTGTGTGTGTGTGTGCGTGTGTGTGTGTGTGTGTGTGCGTGCGCGTGTGTGTGCGTGCGCGTGTGTGTGCGTGCGCGCGCGCGTGTGTGTGTGTGTGTATGTGTGTGTGTGTGTGTCTGTGTGTGCGTGCGCGCATGTGTGTGTGTGTGTGCGTTCGTGCGTGCGAGTGCGTGTGCGTGTTTGTGTGTGCGTCCTGCCCACGCGAGAGCTCGACAGGTTGTTTTGAACACCGCCCGGTCTGCTGTCCTGGATATGCGCCAGCGTGCGCCTTCCCGGCCTCTTGATGCCCGCACCGCTCCACCAGGAATCAGTTGCGTGGCAAGCGAGCCCCGTCACCAGGGCTCGTTTCGATTCCTCCGATTCGATTCGATTCGGTTTCGATGGTTGCCGATTCCGATTCGATCCGACTTGGATTCCGATTTGGGCTCCGACTTCTCAACGGAGGCCTAATTTCTAGTCTGCCGATTCGACTTGTCCCGACTCGGCTGCCGATGTCCGCCGATCCGATTCATTTCGATCGCGGCTTCTCGATTCGATTCTGGGCTCCCCTGCGTGACCATGCATCCGGGGTTTGGATGCAGCCTCGCGTCGGAGGGACAAGCGTGTGCCCCGGTGTGCGAGGGCTTGCCGTGGGCCCTCGTTCCTCCGCCCCCCCTCCCTCCGGGGCGTGGCTTCTTCGTTTTCCTGTGCGCTGTGCCGCCTGCACGTTTCGGCGCAGCGGTCGGCCACACCTGGCAGGTGGTGGGAGCCCTTGCTGTTTTGTTCGCCTTCGCGGTGCTGGGCACACTGTCCTGGCAGCGTGTCGGGCTTGCCCTTCCGCCGCTGGCTGCGATCTGCTGGCGCGTCGGAGGACAACACCTGCGTGCGTGTGTGTGTGTGTGTGTGTGTGCTTGCGTGTGCGCGCGTGCGCGTCCTGCACGCGCCTGATCTTGGCTGTTCCGCGGTCGGTTGTGCCCGTTTCACTGGTCGCCTGTGCTGCTGCGCAGGGTGGTTCACTTCATCTCGTGCGCGTCCAGTGCTTGCACCCCGTCGGCTTGCAGAAGGAATGTGTGTGTTGGTTGTGTGTGAGCAGCCCCTCCTGGGGCTGCGCGCTGATGAGAGACAGCCTCTCTTTTCTGCACGCTTCTTTCTTGCATCCGCAGCACCTCTTGCGCTGCCTCCATCAACACCGCTGGGTGGTAATTCTCCTTCGTGCGCTCCGCTGATCTGTTAGCTGAGCTGGATCAGCCGACCGGGAAGCAAAAAACAGAGGGTGTTGGTTGTATTTGCCTGTCGCATCTTTCGGCGGCGCGCAGACGGGACCGGACCGAGATTGGGTTGGCCTTCCCAGAAGCCTCCAGGTCTCTCCGAGAGGCCCGCTGCTGTGTTAGACGGGCGCCCCCCCGCCCCATCTACCCCCACGATGTGCACCACCAGCCCGCTCTGCCGCGTCTTCCCCGCCGTCGCCTTCCCTCGTCCCCCTCTCCGCGCCAGCGTGACTTCACCCAGCTGCACGCCACAGCACTCTGCGCTCGTGCCTGCTGTCGATATGGGATGCGCCCAGGAGGCGTCAGGCCCTGGAGGATTCCTTGACCAATGGGGGCGGCGGTGATGTCTACAGTGGAGACCCATGCCAAGAAACACCCTGCGTGCCTACAGTGGAGGGCTTTGCCGTGTAAGGCGCGACGTTCCCACACCAACAGTCCCCGGACGTCCTGGGGTCTCTGGATTGGGTCTCTTGTGGAAGGGCTTTCTGTGCTCGAGCTCCTGCTGCACGGCCAGTCCACCGGGTGCCGGACCTCGGGCTCCCTTCCCCAGGATGGTTCCTTGGCTCGCTGCCCTCACCCGACCAGCCGTGTGCGTGGCCTCCTGCCCTCGCCCCCCGCGCGCGCATGTTTTGGAGCAGGTGCGGCGGCCGTGTGCGCTGCTGCGGGCGCTGGCGGACCTCCTCCTCCTCCTCCTCCTGCTCCTCCTCCTCCTCCTCCCCCTCCTCCTCCTCCTCTTCCTCCTCGTCCTCCTCCTGCTCCTCCTCGTCCTCCTGCTCCTCCTCCTCCTCCTCCTCCTCCCCC